ATATAGTGAAGTGAAAGTCGTCTCTTCAATAAATGGTGTTGGGAGAACTGGGCTGGTAAATGCAAAAAAATGAAAGTAGACCATCACCTTACACCATACACCTGAATAAACTAAAAATGGATAAAGGGCTTAAATATAAGTCATGATGCCATAAAAGTCCTAGCAGAAAACATAGGCAGTAAAATTTCAGTCATCCCACGTAGCAGTATTTTTGCTGATATATCTCTTAGGGCAAGGGAAATAAAGGAAAAAAATAAACAAATGGGACTACATCAAATTAAAAATTTCTGCATAGCTAAGGAAACCATCAAAATGAAAAGGGAACTGACCGTATGGGAGAACATATTTGCCAGTGATAATTGGACAAGGATTTACTCTCCAAAATATGTAAAGCTCTCATACAACTCAACACTAGGAAGACAAACAATCCAGTTAAAAAATGGACAAAGGACCTGAATAGACACTTCTCCAAGGAAGACATGCAGAGGGCCCAGAGACATATGAAAAAATACTCAACATCACTAGCTATCAGAGAGATGCAAATTAAAACCACAGTAAGATATCATCTCACACCTGTCAGAATGGCCATCATAATCAAATCAACAAACAGGAAGTGCTGGTGAGTTTGTGAAGAAGAGGGAACCCTCGCGCACTGTTGCTCGGAATGCAGGCTGATGCAGCCACTGTGGAAAACAGTATGGAATTTCCTCAAAAACTTAAAAATGGAACTGCCTTATGACCCAGTAATTCCACTGCTGGGAATATACCCTAAGAATCCTGAAACGCCAATTCAAAAGAATTTATGCACTGCAATGATCATAGCAGCATTATTTACAATTGCCTAGTGCTGGAAACAGTCCAAGTGTCCATCAGTAGATGAGTGGATTAAAAAACTGTGGTACATTTACACAATGGAATACTACACAGCAGAAAGAAATAAGGAAATCCTACCCTTCGCAACAACGTGGATGGAACTGGAAAATATTATGCTAAGTGAAATAAGCCAGTTGGAAAAATACAAATACCGTATGTATGACCTCACTTATAACTGGAATCTAATGAACAAAATAAACAAATGAGAAAAACAGAACTAGAGACATAGAAACATGGAACAGACTGATAGCTATGAGGTGTGCAGTGAAAGGAAGGAGAAGGGACTAGTGAAAGAACATGTATGAATGACACATGGACACAGACAAGGGAGAGGGGATTGATGATGGTAGGCTGGGTCGGGGGGGGGGGGGGGGGGGCAAAAGGGAAAAAATTTGGGACAACTGTAATAGAATAAGCAATAAAAAATGGGGAGAGATTGAGTTCTCTAAGAATTTTTTTTAGCAAAAATCTAATTTGTAATCTGATTCTTTGACTTTCTCTATAGGAACGTGTACTCAGGGATGATAATTTTAACCATGTGGCACACTTGATTATAAACCTTTGAGAATCTTCTATGAAAATGTCTTCATCAGCTTGGTGCAGTGAATCCTGAATTGCTATACATATGTCCCTGCCATCACTGTTTACCATAACGTGGGTAAGGGTGGGGGCGATTCATATTACTCGTTGCCTATAGCCAAGCAGGACATTTAAGATGGATACATATTTAATGGCTATGTCCTGTACCTTGAGAAATCAGAACACCAGTAGATATCTTTGGCTTATGAGGGAAAGGAAAGCCTCGTTTAAAATTAGGTCTATTGACTATTGACTAGCTGACCGTTTCTTGCTCCAACTGTACAAATTAGATGACCCATAATCAGGAGCGAGTAGGAGGGCAAATTGTAGTGGTTAGCCTGGAAAGTCAGTCCTGTTGTATGTTTTTATGAGACATGATCATTGAGTATCAGCCTCTCTCCTTCCTGCATATTCCATTCATAATATTTTGATTTGGGAAGATCAGTGACTGTTGTGTTTATACAGCTCTTGACAAGCAGAGCCCTATCGGCTGGACAGTTGTATTGCCAAATCTTATTTGCCAGCTAGGAATGTCCTGAGTGCCATTTTCATTCAGTTCACATGTAATTGACCAACAGCCAGCTAATAAATCTGATGGTGGCTTTTGCTTTAATTGATAAAATTTACTCACAGAAAAACTTAGGTGTACACATATGTGTATATACATGTGTGTATGAATATATTCACACATAAATAAATTACATAGTGCTATATAATATCAAAATGTTACAACATAAATATACAAAGAGGGCCATGTTACTATAATTGATGACTGTGTGATTTTATTTACCTCTTGGGAATCAACTGAGCTATTGATTCCACAGCAAATGTGTTTTGATTAATATCGTGGCAGGATATGTTTGACAGCAATTTCAAATTATTAGAGTTTAGTACATATTTAAAGTCTACAGTCAACTGAGAGTGTATATATTTGATTTTAGCTCAGAGAGAGAAACCTATTGATATTTTTTCCAAGGACTGTAGTCTCAGTGCTGTACAGTTGCCACGCACTCTATAAAAACCATATGCCTTTCTGGATAGTCTGTGATGTGTTGTGATGCCCAAACTTATCTTTATGTTAAACAGGGTTAGAATCATGAATGCAGAGGTTAATATGCTTCACATATATTTACAGGATAATTTTCAGGTATATATACAGATCAAATCTGCACTGGTTCAAAGAGTTTAATAGTTAAGGATGGGTTCCTTAGCTGTGAACATTGTTATTTATGGTGTTTATTATGGGTGTGGTTGTGGATGATCCTGGAAAATCAAGGAAAGAGAAATATTTCCAGGGAAAACTCAATTTCTTAAAAATATTTTGAAAATGTGTTTTATTTTTTCACTTTTATGTGAAACTGAAATGTATACTCTTCTTTAACACATGTAGAATTATTCAAGAACAACAATAAAAAGAAAACCATCATGAAAATACAGTGATATTAAATGTACTCAGTGGAACATGAATCCAGTCAGGTTTTCATGATTTATCAGTTTTTAACCTCAAAGAGTCTGGTTAGCTTGCATTTTTTTAAACTAATGAGTTGATCACAGCCAGTGAGGAAAATGGTTCAAGTATATCAGCTGTAAATTGGTACAAAGCACTAAAAGGGACATTAGCCTCTAATCAGATTCTAACAGTTCATTAAACCTGCCTTTCCAGGATCGTTCTTTGTCTTTTCCCCTCCTTTGCAAAGCATCTTCCCTTTTCCTCTGAACAAGACCTCCTCTGGGGTAGGAAGCAATATCAACTCATCCTTCATTGTCTACCAACTAAACAGCCCACGGGATGCTTTGTTACAGTAGGTTCCAGGCTGCTGTGCAAGGCAGGGGGAGTTGAGGGCTGGTCGCTGCTGGAAGGCTTTCCTGAGACTGGATGGTGGCGAGCCTTGCTGGCTGCTTCCAACCAGGGAAGCAAATGACACATTGGGATGTGAGATCCATGCTTGATGTGTAAACAACTCACCAGCCTCCATGAAAGGATTTTAAGCTTGGAACAAATTAACTGAGCTTGCCAGTAATACTAACGTTCCTTCTGCTCTAAGCTATCTTTTAGGATTCAAAATCTCTAAAAAAAATATGGACAAGTAAAAAGCACAGATTAAAAACAGGATCAATTTTAACAGTATTGTGCATTTCTAAGAAAAGAAGATGACAGTCATTTATTTTCTTCTTTTTATTACCTAATAGACTAGGTTCTATGAAATTTGTAAATGCTTATTAGTTAATCCTAGAATAAATCTGTTTTTCTTTCTTGTTGATGTTTTACAACAAATAGTTGTATAGAGACCCTATAAATTTTATTTCTCATTTTTCTTAAACAAAAAGAGGAGTCAAGAAATAGGAGAAATAATTAGAGCTTCACTATACTGCACTCTATTGGTATTATTTGGTAATAAAAACATTTAGTTTGTGATTTGTTGAAGTGAAGTTGTTCTTATTTAACTATATGGTTGAAAAGCAACTACTATAAGAAAGGCTAAAAACCTGAGATTTAGAAATGATGTTAACCTTTGTTACCAGGTAGGCAAAATATTTTAGAAACAGACCTCTTTTTCTTTTAATAAGATACTTTAGTGTCTCGTGGTTAGGTTACAATCTGTAACTGATCAAAGGAACTATTCTAAAAAGTCAGATTTAGTCATTTCAATTTCTTGGCTTAGTCAGTATACGAGGCTAAAGTTGGCATTCTTAACATGTCTTAAAACACAGGCTTGATTCTAGCCTTAAGCAAGCACTGATACGCAGGTAGGCTTTTTGACTACCTGCATGGGTTATTGGCTTCAGAAACCCCCAAAGCAGTGACAATTAGTATAAAATAACCTTGTTTTAATCTTTGTATAGATACAGTTTGAAATTCCATTGAACCACAATGGAAATAAGGTTTTCCTTTTTTTTAAGAGGAGGCTGACTGAGCCCAGCATATACCAGAACAAAAAAACATTATTTATTCTTTGGTTATGACTTTAGCTTAAAAATTCACTCTAACCCAAGACTTATATTAGTTGTTTTTAAAGATGTTTGTTGATATATAAAAATTTTTATTTGATCAAATTGCCATGATACCAAAATTCAGTGTCTAGAACTGTGTTATCTTGTTTTTAGGAATTTGAGCCAATAATTTGAGAATGTATAAATCCTTTTTATCTATTTTTTTATGGATTTCTGTACATGATACAACCTCCAGATCTAAAGAAGAAAGAAACTTGCCTTATATTTCCTTCTACAATAGCAAAAGTGTGATGAATTGTTCCAGCCTCATATAAATTAATGTAATGTTTCCTTACTCTGGTTTATTACAGTCTGACCTCCAACCCTGAGGTCAAAGAATCAGACTGATTAATTCAACTTCTTGGTCATTATTTCCAATGAAAGTTCGGAATGAGGAGATAATTGGTTATGCTGATACTCTCATTTAATTATACTTCATTGTTAAAAAATTAGGTTAGCGGTCCTAAATGTGCTACAGCGAAGGCAGGCTCTACCAGATGTGTCCGGCTTTGAATGCTCTAAAGCTGAATCCCCCTCTCTCTCTCTTTGGTTCTCAGAATATCAGCACCTGTGAAAACAGAATGTTAATGCTTGATGGGATGCCGGCAGTCAGAGTCAAAACAGAGCTGCTGGAATCGGAACGAGGGGTAAGCAGGCCTCTGACACCCCCGGCCCCCTCCGTGTGGCAGTGGCGGTCATTCCCAGAGCGGTCTGAGGCTGGCAGGACGGTGCACGGGCCTAAGCTTTATTCTCTCGAGCACAGCCATCGGAGACTGTGGTTGATTCTCACCCATTTCCAACCTCAAGTATTACTAACTTGGAAAAGATAAATTCTTGAAATTAGGAATGTTTAGTGACCTTATAAGAACCATATGGCATTATTTAAGTTGGTGAGTGTTTGAAAAGCTAATAGAAACCTCGAAAGCGAAGAGGAAGTACTAAAAAAATAGAATGGGAATATAAGCTCAATGTCAAAATGTCTTGGTTCTTTCTTAGGAAATTACAACATCCAGGTATGGGAATGTTACTGTTTGTTGGGTGGATTGTTCTTTTGAAACGTATGTATATACTTTTTCATGCTATGAGGAGAGGGGACAGTTGAGGAGATTGAGGTCACTGAGTTTGAAAAGAGCATAAGAGCAAAAGAAATTTTATTTAACAGTGTATAGCCAAATTGATGAATTAATTAATGGCTACTAAAAATATAAAGGTTTAAGAGCACAGCTATATTTCTTATAAAGGATGTTGGAGACTTTATAATTATTAACATTTATAACTTCACCAGTTAAATTCATAAAAAGGGCAGTATGATCGCTTGTAGCATCAGCTGACCACGTTTTAAATTTAAGTGAGCAAGCATTGCTCTGGTCTCTGAGTACATACTGCCTACCTGTCTTAGTAAACCACCACCATTGTGAGAGTGCACATGCCTGAAAAAAAATGACATAAATGACATAAATACTTATTCCTAATCTGATTAATGTATCTCTTATTCAAAAGGTCAAAACTAAGCATGAGCATTTTTTTGTAACTGAACAATTGAAATAAAATTTAAATGTGAATAAAACCTCACTTTTATAAAAATCAGGGTGTATAAATTCATCTAGGATGACATTCAAGGTCTTAGAATGCTGTTCTACCAAAAGGATATTTAATGAGGACAGCCGAAGGCGTGGGTCTGGGTGGTGGCATGTGTGGGGGTTCGCCAATGCTTTCCTCATTCCTGAGCAGTACGTGGCAGGACGTACGACACCTCAGTGTATATTTCTCTTCAGTGTAAGCCTGTGTCTGAAACACACCCTTGTCACGTGGAGGATATCATTTCTCTGTTTTGCTCAGTGTTGATTTTCATAGCCCTGAAGTGAACTTTGTGGACTGTGTCAACCCATATCATGACTCCACATTTCTGTGCGTGACATGGTGACTGACTGTGTAGTTTCAGCTCAGGGCTTAGGCAGTAGAGCATCATGGAACAAAAGACTGTGCGGCAGTTACTGATATTATTTGTTCAGTGTGGCCAAACCTTCAGAGAAAGCTATGTTTTCATCTGGATTTTCTAGCCTGCCTTCTCAAGTTAAACTCTCTATCCTTCAAATTAACTAGTTCTTACCTTTTCTGTTTAACCTAATCATGGGAAGATTTGTTTAGTTTTTGGAGTTCTGTTTTCTTTTCTTTTTTAAAAAATCTAAATGCATTAGCATCAGTTGGATGGAATACATTTCTGTACAACCCATGTTTAAGTTTAACAAATGATACAGACTATACCATCTCATTCAGAGAGGGTAGTCTCTCTTTCTTCTGCTAATGGAAAAGGGAAAAAATGGTGTATTTCACAGTGTTGTTTTTTTATTTCACAGTACATATATTCTTCAACTTGAATGCCAGTCTATCCAGTCAAGTCATGCATATTGGAGGAAGGCAAAAAAGCACAGGGAAAAAAAAAAGTCATAAAATACTACCTGGGTCACTAGTCAAGCCAGGATAGTGTGCGATTGTCACCAGTCCTAACAATGTTTAATGGTATCTGAATATTACTCTCCCTTTACTATTATTTTTCAGTTTTAAAGTCAAGTCTGCATGAAAGATTTAGGTACAAAAAAAAAGCCAATATTCTTAGAGGTTTTACAGTGCAAACATTTTATGGCCTCAAACAGAGAAAGGAAAAATTGTAGGTTCATAGGTTTTACTTAATGCCTGTTCATTAAAGTCATTTCTCTTCCTCCTTATGAATGGAGCTAATATTGATATTTTAACCCTAATTTGGAGGGAAGTAGAAACTTGATTTTATTGTTTTTCTTAATTTTTTCTGTACTTTTAAAATATATAAAAGATGTATTTCATTCTCTTTTGCAGTAAAGCTTCAGGAGAAGCAGCCAGCAATGTTTAGTGAAATGAATTATGACAACTACTTACAGAATACAGTAATTTTTACTTAGTAATTTGTAATACTTTAAATCAACTCTTCTTTAAATTGGAGATAAAACCTAGAATTTTAGTGAAATTCATTTTGGTCACTCTACTAGAGTTCTTCTTTGGCGATAATGGGATGGATAACATACTATATAACTTCAGAATCTCAGAACTATTTGTAGATAAGCAGTGCTAGAATTCCGAAGGTTATTATTACTTTTTTTTTTTTTATTTCAGTCTTATGGGACTCCTTCCTCATTTACTATTAAGGCTGAAGTTAATCTTCATAAGATGATGTATAGTGGTGAGATTAATCACATGTATGATTAGGGCTTTTACAAAAGATGAGATATGTTAGTTACAGTGAACAAAAGGTTATAGGAATGTATCCATGCATCACAAAAATGAATGGGAAAGCCTGAAGGTGATGCCTTGGTCAGACTCTGAAATTCTGTTAAACCTAGTTTTGAGACCTTGTTTATAAGATACAGACATTAACCTCCAGTCTTTCGGGGAAGAAAAAGTTAGGCTGCCTTACAGGCTACAGGCAGCATTGTAAAGATTTGGTGCTCGCCATGGACCTCCTGTTCTTGAACCATGAAGGCATTCTTTTGTCCTCTCCTTCTTGCTATAAATAGTCCCTTAGGTCTGTTCCTGTCAGCTGGTCTGTATCCTGCCCCCACCCCTTCAGGCGATTCAGGACCTTCTGAGCATATTTTAGAGCTTAAAGAAAGACTGGGAATAAGCCGAGGATATAGCCACTCTACCTGTGGATGTGCCTGTGTTTCTTCGATCAGGTTGTAAGCGCTTAGAGGGCAAGAACTGTTTCTTTTGTTTTTCTGATAGTTCCTGCCACATGGTAAGTGCTAAGTTAATATTTGCTTTATTCAACTCATCCAGGCATTACAACTGGCATGGCAAAAAATATGAAACCATTCAATAGATAGTTATAAAACCTGCTCCATCTTCCTCATAGGATTGTTGTGAACGCGAAAATAAAAATTGGAAATATTGGAAATTCACATTCTTATTGGTGGCCAGATTCTTCATCTTGTGCTCATGTGACTCAGATAGACATGCTGGTGTATTGACACCAACTCTGTGTACCTTCCCTCTGTCTCACATTCTCTGATTCTTGCATCCTTAGTTTTGTGGTATCTAAGTAGACAATTATTGCAATCTCCAGAAATGTGACTTTGGTTTTCTTCAGACTTGTTGGTACTACAGTGCCTACTGCTAAGCAGTCCATGGGAAGGGCATGTGCTCTTGGGACACACTTCAGGGGCACGGCAAGGACTGTCGGAATGACTTTTCGACCTTCGGTGCTTGTGTCCTGCTGTTACCAGAGCTTCCCAAATGCTGTCAGTCATCCGATGTTCTGACATGTTACTAAGCAAAGGACTAAAACAGGTAGAAGCGCACTTGAACCCCAGGATGCAGAGAAAGGGCATTGCCTCAAAGACACGAAACGTGATTTTAGTCCTGGCCCTGCATTTTGCCAGCTTGAATGACTTTGGGAGGTGACTTCAGAGCCCTAGGCCTCTAGGTCCACATCCGTACAGAGGGGATGTCGGAAAGGAGTGAGGCCTTCCCAGGTTCAGTGTGGCCGTCTGTGATTCTGGTAAGAGGCACAGAGTGAGAGAAAGCCTTTCTAATTATGAGTTTAATAATCCTGCTACAGTGAGGCTACCTGTGTGTGGAAGCAGAAATGCATAGACGGACTTTAAAGTGACACAGAACTGAGTTCGAATACTTGCTCAGCCAAGTGCTAGAGGTGTGGGTCACAGTAGGTCGTCTTCTGCTTATTTCTCTTCACCTGGGAAGTTAAGTGAGTTACCCACCCTCCCAGGAGAGCTCTGCATAAGGTGGGTGCTAAATAAATACTCTCCTTTTGAAGATAAATGGGAATAAAAAGGGTTCCATTGTTTTCATTTCTATAGATGCAAATTCCATAAGGCATTTAGTAAAGATTTCAACATCTACGTTAGTTTGTAATTCTAAAAGTAGATTTAAGGTATATCTCAAATTGGAGCTTTTTTTAAAATTTGAACTTCTATTTAAGTATTTCTGGGGATATGTTTTAAATTCTGGTTAGATTTTATTTTGTGAAAAACAGAATAATGAAGCCAGAAATTAATTACTAAATTAACCTAAAAATGACCTAAGATTTTGGCCTGATGATGGCATTTGGCCACAATTTTTTACAAAGGAGTTCTGACTTCATACACTTGAAGGATAGTTCTTGGTGTATTTACAGATGAAATGATTAGATGCCTGGGATGTGCTGCAGAATGAAACAGAGGGAAGATGGGCGGGGACAGAAGCGAGACTGGTCAGGATTCCTTCCCGCCGAAGCCGGGTGAAGGGTGCAAGGCGACTTGTTTAACTGTTCTGCCTAATTTTTATATGTGTGAAATTCTTTAAAGAAACATGTTTCAAAAAAGAAAAGAAGAGCCCTCTAAATAAAAACAGGTATTTTAAAGAGAAATGCAGGTGCAGAACTGTCAGAGGGAGACAAGAAAGAAGCATTCCTCAGTGACCCTCACTGTTTTCTAAGGCTCGGAGACTCTGCCACAGGGAAGGAGCCAGCCTGAGGCCTTCAACCAACCATAGCAGTGCTGCTGCCTGTGGTCACTTTGTCTCTCTTGCAGAGGCAGATGCACCTCTGACACTTGGACAGCTGGACAGAGAGTGGTGGCAATAGTGTGGGAGGTGGTGGGGATGGACGGACGGATGG